TCCCTTCCCTTCCCTTCCCTTCCCTTCCCTTCCCTTTCTCCTTCCAAGCATAGCTGCTTAAATCCTTGCCCAGCTAAATCCAGTGGGATTAGCAGGCTGAGCCACTCAAAGCAGGATAGACTTTTAATTCAAGGACAAAATTCTTTGCTTCTGGTGATGTATGACTATTTCCATGTGGGCTTCTGTCCATAGAGGAAAATGAATGCTTTTCCCTTGCTGAAATGCTCTGCAAAAGGTCCAGCATGAGGCCAGGGGAGGTTGTGGCGGCGGGGGGGGGGGGTATACGACCCATTCCGGATGCTAACGGCCATTCACATCCACTGGTGCTCTGACTGCAGCCAGTTGTCAGAGGCCAGGGGAGAGGGCACAGTTCCCAGGAGAATTCCCCAATCCTCATCCTGGGAAAAACAGGGAGGAGGAAAACAGAGAGCAAGAGATGGATGCTGCTTGTTTTCCAGCCCCAAATTCCCTCAGCCTCTAGTATTGGCTGTCACAGAAACCTCATCCTTCCCCTATCATCTCAGAACAAGCCCTCCGGCAGAGCCAGAGGGATTTTTGTGTTGGCAGATGAACGGCAGGGGCTGGAGAGGAATTAATACTGTGGGCAGATGATAGTTGTCTGAAAGGGGAAGATCAAGAAATAAAGGCCAGAATGAATTACAAGCTACTATATTTAGCCCTGTCCCTGGGCAGATAAGTCTTTTTTAACCCAGAATCAAGGAGAAAGGATCTAAACCCACTTATTTTCCTCTGCCTAAAAAAAGCATCCCCCAGAGGAAACACCAAAAGAGTCAGCACAGCACCTCATCATGGCACAGCTCTTTTTGTGGCTAGGGAATTTTAGTATGATGGTTGTGGGTTTTTTTACTGAATGATGAAATCCCAGGTACCCAGGAGCAATTAAAGAATTCACATATTTTCATGCAATTCGTTTTCTTGAAATATCTGATTTCGGCCTCCCACCGCGTGGGGTTTTGGTCCAATCCACTCTTGCAATTCCAACTGGCAATACTGCATCTGCATTTTTGCATTTTCCTATTTGGCTCCACGCTTGTGCTATGACTGAATGTATGTTCCTTCTGTGGCTGAATACATTTTTAGGGCAAGCAGATAACTAAGTTAATACTTCCCCCATCATCTGAGCTTTTTGTGGGAGCAGATTCTGCTGCACATCTGAATCTGATCACTTCCACACAACAGCCTCTCGCATCTTTCTCCAGCCACACTTGGGTTCTGCAAGCTGCAATGTGAGCAACAGGCACCTGAGTGATTTTTCTTGAGTCAGATGGTTAAAAGTGGCATCTGTCTTTTGATTCTTGATTATTAAGCAGCATCAAAATAATTTTTTGAGAGTTGTGGCTGAAATTTAAACTGCTATTTCTGCAGCTTATTCAAAGTCTCTACAGATCTTTTTTAAGGGGTTCTGAACTCATGGGTTCCAGAAAATGAGATTTTTCTCCCCACAAATGGAGCTGTCTGCTTCTTTACCACCCAGAGGACAACTGACTCAGCTGTAATTCTCACTGGGCGTGATGGTTATTTCAGTCATTTCAGTTATTGCAGGACCTGTCAAATATCACCCCTCCTCCTGTGACATGTATGGCCAGCTTCTGTTCCTGCTACTCCTGCAGTCTTCACTAATAATATTTTTGCCCAGATTACTGATGAAACATCTCTTCCATCGAGGCTTCAATTTGTGTCAGCAATTACATAAATCTTAATTTCAACTGTCTTCTTTCCTGGAGAGGGATTTCTTAAATATGATGCAGTTTTTGGATGGAGGGAGAAGGAGAGCCATGAGCCCTGATAGTCAAGCTTACAAGGAGGTGTTGAGCAGTGTCCAAACAGGTGAAGAAAAAAATTCAAACACTTCCAGCTTTCGCAGACCCTCCCCTTCACCAGACTAACCAGCACTTCTTTATCCTTGTCACATTTGCCTTCCCACCCTCTTCTCCCCATCTCCTCATACCTCTGGAAGGGGTTGGTGAGTCACAGTTCAACATAGTCCCTGTGGTTTGTTTCTGGTGACTTCTAAGCTGTGTCCAACTCACCTCAGTGCAATGGCCCATCCTGAGATATCTCTTCTTTGCAGCACAGAACAAGAAGCAGAGCTCCTTGCATGAAAGCTTTGGGCAAATAAACCTTCCCAGGCCTTGCCGAGCAAGATCCCAGTGCTCTGAGCCAGAAGTTTCGCATGGGGGACTTCTGGGGGTTAAGACAACATCAGAGAAACACCCAGGAAAACAGGCAGGCTGGACCCGCTCAGCCCCATGGGGAAGCACTGGCTGCCATCGCTATCCAGCGCAGCTGCCCCAGGCACTTGCTGCCCATGCACACAGCGGCAGAGCTTGCACAAGACCCCAGTAGAAAGTGCACACAGAGAACGGCCGCACGCTGCGTGCAGTGCAGGAGTGTTTCACCCAGGGCTCAGCCTTCACTCGCACAGCTGGATCAGCACTGGCAGGGTCCTTACTGGCATGTCTGCTGTGGACGGAGCTTTGTGACTGGCTCTGCCCTTGCTTGACAGCAGCGGCTGCCCATGCTCCACAGCTCCACACAGCCAGCTCCAGAAGGTCCTCACTGAGGAGAGGAGAGTGTCCGCAGCCCTCATCCAGGCTCCCCCACTGCCACCAGCTGCACGTGGGGGAACAGCTTCACACCTGCATCCAGTATGGACACAGCTCCAACTTGCTCACACACTAACATGGGTTTGGTGGCCACCACAAACCCCTGGAAGATGCTGTGTGCTGGGGAAGCTTGGAGCAGAGTTGCCATCTCCAAGCCCCATAAAGCCCTCTTCAACCTGTGTCCCCTTCTGGAAGACAGCAAGGAGGGGAAGCGCATGCAGCCAGCCAGGAGGTGCTCAGGAGAACAATTTTCCTGCTGGTTGCATGGAGTGATGTATTCCTGCCAGGCTCTGATGACTACACTTCAAATGAGAGGACTTGATATAGCTGCCCACAAGCACAGGGTAGCTACATTTTAGGGCATGGAAGGCCCCTTTGAGACCTGTTACACCATTCATCAGTAAGCTATATTGAAAGAAACTTCTGTCTACTTATTATCAGTCATTGTCTGTATCTGCTGTAATGACAAGTGAGCAAAGGACTTTTCAGCCCCTGCATTGTGATGAACGTTTCTTCTGAAAATGAGTTAAGTCAGGGAATTCCCATAGCATGAAGCAGGGCGGGTGAGTAATACACATCTTTAACAACTGTGCTGCCATCTGTGGCACCATAAAACCAGCCAGAGTTTGGCACAGTTGGTGGCACTGGAACTTTTTATTTCTTACTGTGTGAAACAATGAGAATCTCCCATGGGCTTCCTGACACAGCCTCAGGGTTGATAATGCAAAACCTAGTAAAATGAAGTTACTCCCTGCTCTGATTTTGCCTGGAATTAGTAAAATAGGCAAGAAAACATGGAGAGAAAATACATGCTATAAAGAGGGAAAGAAAGAGAGAGGGCAGTCAATGTTACCTCCAGAGTCTGTAGACACTTTCTGACTTTCTGTTTTTGTTCTGCATTTGTAGTGCATGTGGCCTGGGTCTCCACCAGGCCCCTCAGGGCTACAATAGCCTGTGTTACCAGCGTAGCAATGGCTTGGAGGTGAAGACTGAAACTTTCATTCCCATATGTGGGGAAGTTGTGCTGAGGGTTGCACTTTTCCCTTGCCCTTCCAGATGACATGGCTCTGTTGCCAGACAATATTAAGGTTTCTGGGTCTTTGTTTCTACAAAATGCACTCTAATAATTTGACAGAGAGAACAAATTAAGCCTTTTTTCCTTAACCTGCCCAAGGTTGATGGTGAAATGTACAGTAGGTCATGGAGCCAGCAGCAGGTCTGTGCACTGCTTCTGCTCTCAGCATTTCTGAGCATGCACTTGGAAACAGGACCAAATGTTCAACAGCAGTTTTGCAATCAACTAGATAACAATAAATCCCATACTGAAAACTAACAGAGTCCAGCTAGTGATTAAATAAAGCCTTTCAACACAACTTGTCACAGGGTGCGAAGCAGGAATAGGTGTGTGTGTGGAAGCTGGCAGTTCAAAGTTTGGGGAGTGCTTTTCCACTGCTTATAAGAGGCTCAGAGGGCTGAAATAACAGGCAAAGAATCTGAGCTGATTCTGCAGAAACCGCCATCCACCATGGGGAGGACTGGCCAGCAAACACCCCTCGCTCTTCTCTGCCTAGCAGCCGTGCTGTGTAATGCTGACGACTCATGTCTGAGTAGGTGAGGGTGAACCTCGTTCCCCACCAGCCCTATGGACCTTCAGTCTGCAGAGATGCCTCTGAAGTCTGCTGAACATGTGCTTCCTGAGGGACGAAGGGTGGGGAGCGTCCCCAGGACGAACACTGTAGCTTTACAATATGATTTTAGGTATGTGAAGTCAGTACAAAGCATGTTTCAGGTTTTTTCTTCTGACGAAATAGTTTCAGGGTAGGATGCTCAGTGCGCCCATGCCTGTTGTTGGTGACAGCCTGTGGTGCTGTGGGAAGTGCCCAAGCAGAGCGTGGGCACTAGGGTGCTCTTCCAGGGAAGCCCTCCTGCGTCCTGCATCCCACGTCCTGCAGGCTGTCATGGTGATGCTCCCTGAAGCAGAAGAGTATCTTGATGTAGCCTTGGGGTTTTTGGGTTTTGATTTCTGCTAAGAATGCATTTTAATCCCTTTCCAAGCTCATTTTTTGCTCCTCTCACACACACCATTTTTTTTTTTTTTTTAATAACTATCTTGCACTTTTTTCCATTATTTTACAATCCTTTATATCTTCTGGGCTAGAAACCCAGCAAGTGTTGAGTATTTTTGACGTTATGTATTGGGTAGGGATTAGTCCAGGTGTCTCTTGGTGAGAGGTTTCTGTTCACTTCTTTTCCCCTCAAGAAGTCTAAGAGATATCAGCATATGGGTTTTCTATGTTATTCCATAAATCAAAGGCAAGAAAGTTACAGTGCAGCTGTTTTACAGGAGTCAGATACCTGTGCACCGGGAGGTGCAATGGGCTCCCCAGTGCTGTTGTCAGACAGCAAAACTGAGCAACATAACTTGAAAAATCTGTCTCCCTCAGGGAGACAAGTCGCTCCTCCACTCCCCACAGCCCTTAGGGAGACCTGGTCAATGTTCCACAGAAACCTCCAGGTGTACATCAGCAGAATAAAACCAATTCAAACACATTTTTCCTATGAGGAATGTTGTACAGTCTCCATCCATGGAGATTTTCAAGACCCAACTGGACAAAGCTACGAGCAACCTGGTCTGAGCTCAGCACTGATCCTGTTTTGAGCAGGAGCTTGGAGTAGAGACTTCCTGAGGTCCTTCCCAGCCTGAATTATCCCCTGATCCTGTGGTCATATAAAAAAGCCATTCCAGGAGGAGATCAGGCTAACCAGTCTCCTCTTTCCAGTTATTCTTAAAACTCATGGACTTATGTGTCCAATAAAGTATACTCTTTTTGGAAAAAAACCTCAAGATCTGTTTAGTAATAGCTGCACAACAGAAACTATGGGCTGTTAATTTTATTGTTTTACTGCACAGGAGAAATAAAGAGGTTACACAGGTTTTCTTGTCTCTACTTACCTTGGTGCTTTGTATTTTTCTGACAGATGTGCCAGACCTATTGTGTAGAAAAGGCAGGCTTTTCCTAAAAAACCCATCTTGTTGTCTCCTTTTTTGTTGTGTTTTATATCATGTCTGTCATAAAATTTTATTTTGCTAACTAAAGGTACACAAGCCTACAAGGATCCTTTAGTTTAAAAAAAAAAAAAGCCAAACAGAAAAACTGCTTAGCGTTGAATTTAAATGATGGGCTTTGGGGAACATGTGCTTCAGTCAGTCTCTTTAAACAGAAGTATTTGTCTCTCAATACATTCTGGTGCACATGTCTATGTAAAAATAAACAATCTGAGAATAAGACCCATGCCTACCCAACTATTGTCAGCACTTTCCTTTCCTCATATTTATACAATTTTAAAACCCGTAAAACAGTGACAACCTTGCCAGCAATGCTAGTTTCCTTTTCCAGTCCATCAGTAATTAATTCTCGGTTTAATATCTACCTAGGAGCAAGAACTGCCGGGAGCTGTTAGCCAGAGGAGTCATCCTGAGTGGCTGGTACACCATCTACCCCTGGGTCTGCCATGCCGGGGCTGTGCTCTGCAAGATGGACATGGACAAGGGCAGCTGGCTGGTAAGTGCCACCGGAGCAGAGGTGCGAGGCTGCCCCGGACCCTGCAGGCATGCAGCTTCCTGCCCCTGCACCAGCCAGCAGCAAAAAGAGATCCAAAACATCTTGTTGAACATTGCAGGTTGGCTTTTTGACTGTGAAAATCTGTGGGTCTTTAAACTAGAACATTTAATATGTGAAGCATAAAACACAGCAATAAATATCACCCTCCATTTTTTTGGAAATAAATTGTATGAGGTTTTTTTGGTTTCAGTTAGAGCCAAAAAAATCCCAGACTTTTATTTTATGCTTTTCTTAATGGCACTGAAATGAGGAGTGTTAAAATTACAGAGTGAATTTCCAGGACTGTGCATACATTGCTAAATTATCAAAATAAATATTGTCCTTAATCCTAATCACCATGCCATCATTTATTATGATTAATAGTTATTACTAACCCATAATCCAGAGGTGCAGGAGTATGGACTACTGCTCTATTTTATAGGACCCCTAGCAAATGCACACAAACAAACAACCTTTTCCCCAAAAGTGGACTCTGTTATTCCATCTGCTGTAGCCCACATGACGCTTGGAACAGCGTTATGATAAAATGACCTTGTGTGAAAATCCCCGTCGTTATTCACCTTGCACTGAAGATGCTCTAATTGTTTTAGGCATAACTTTTCCTTCTCCTTCCCTATTAAGACCCATCTGCCTTCTGCCCCGGCAGGTTTTCCAGAGACGAGTGGATGGCTCCATGGACTTTTTCTGAGACTGGAATTCATATAAAAAAGGCTTTGGGAGCCAGCTGACCAAATTCTGGCTCAGGAATGACAATATTCACATTCTGACATCAGAGGGTAAAGAAACTGCTAACGCATATTCCTAACACTGTTCTCACCCAGAGGCAGGAACCGAAAATTGGTCCAAATGCGACAGTTCCTCAGCAGAGCCTGGAGATGGCTCTGGGAGATATAGAAATGGCTGCATCCCCAGCCCCTTGCCTTCAAGCAGAGCCTTTGAGGGAGAAAATGGATGTGGCTGCTATTTTGGCTGACTTGGTGGGGATGGAGGGCAAGAGCCACAGCTGTACACAGTGAGCTGTGAATGACCCTGGCAGCAGCCAGAGCATTTTCCCTCTGTGTGTCCCATAGCATATCCCAATCCACTGCTTTACTCCAAGGCAAGAGGGAGAAAAATAATGGAGGAAGGCCCTAATTTCAGAGGGAACAAGATAATCATAAAGATGGAACACCAAAATAAATCATAACAAACAAAAGAAAAATAGAGATTTTACAAAATCTGATTTTTCCCCAAAAAAGTCATCAGCTTTTCCTGGAAGTCTAGAGGTGAGGCAGGAGACGCAGCTAACATCCAAGAACACTGATTTCAGTTGTGCTATGGACATTTAATGAGCTGAGGACTGTCCATGAACTAAACGGGGGTTAGGAATCTCTTCAGTAATAAATCAGAATTCCTAAAGGCCACAGAAATAGAAATACAGAATTAAAAAAAAAATCCAGCAAAGCACTGGCGTAATGCCTCTATCAGTGTGTCTGTAAATTGTTGTGATTAGGCAATAATGAGCTTTGCATTGACCGGAGAGACTCTGACAACAAGCATCATTTTGCCTAATAAATGTCATTGAAAATTTTAGGGGACAATGAAAATTACAAACTGATCCTTGGAAACTTCAGTGGTGGCAATACAGGTAAGGAGGATCCAAGGGATAAACTGGAGCTTCCAGCAAGGCAGGGGTGATCTGCAGATGAAATGTTGTATTATATAGTGGCAAGACATGAAATGCTTTTTGCATCCTGCTAATGATCTTGTCTTGTGTATCCTGTAAGGGAACGCACAGGACCTTTCATGGGCTGGCACCACCAGGAATGCTCAGAGCACAGGTAATAGAGCATCCAGCATAACCACAGAGCCCCGTGAAATACCACCCCAGAACTTTACCGATGCCTCTGGGTTTACAAGTTCTCCTCAGACCAAAGTCACTAATCCTAAAGACTAAAAAGGCATAGCATAATTTAATAATACTCCCTAGAGATCTGTGAAGGCAAAGCTCTCACTCCATCAGGTATCCAGAATTAGTTGTACCGACTAAGCTTTCTATTTGCAAAGGGAAACTTTGATGCAGCAACACTTCACTGAAAAGGGACCTGGATATGGAATTTATTGGACACTTAAGATAGCAACTGATAGCTGTTTTCATGTCTGGGTTTTCTAGCACTTCAGACAGGACACTATCACAAAGTAGGTAACAGCAGCAAGAGAGACACAAGACAGACCTAAATATCTTTGATCCCAGAGACCTTCCCACTAGTCCAAACCGCCTCCTCCACTCTCGCTCAACAAGTCCTCACCACCCTTGGCTGGAGGAAGGGGAGGTGTGAGGGCAGGGACTTTGCCCCGCTGCAGAGGACTGCACGTTCCTGGAAGGCCAGAGAGGACATGCAGGATGGACGGGCCATGGTGGTGAGGACAGGGCTCTAGTGACACACAGAAGTTGGAGTTTTAACAAGACTTGTTGGTTTTCTCCACAGGGGATTCATTGGTCAAACACAAAAACATGCCATTTTTGACCAAAGACAACAATGCATACTCTAACAACTGCACTGTAACCTACAAAGGTGCCTGGTGGTACCACCAGTGCCACAACTCCAACCTCAATGGCTTTTACCACCATGGAGCTCATTACAGTTTTGCAGATGGCATCAACTGGCAGACAGGCAAAGGACACAAATACTCCTACCAGCTGTCGGAGATGAAATTCAGGCCAGCGTAGACTGGCAGGAAGGCTGTGGTTTGTCTGTGGCTTTCAGGAAATTTTTCAGTGACACAGCTTGTTACCATCAGAGCTGGATTTCAGCTGGATTTTAGCTCCATGCGGGACAACGGTCCAACTCCAGTAGCACTCAGTCCTTGGTCTTTACTCCCAGCTCAGGCTAAAGGAAAAGAAAAAGTCACTTTCTACAACATGGATTTGTGCTGAAACAAGCAAAACCAAAATAAAGTAAATGTTTGATTAAAAACTTACACTCTTCTGCGTAACAAAGTCAGTCAGTAGTGCTACCAAGGCCACAATGAACATCAAATAAGCAAACAAAATACTGGACTGAGCGGGCCATTAGCCAAACCATTAACACCAAATCTGCACCTTTCCTCTCCAGCTGCAGCTGAACACTGTCACTCTAGAAGATACTATTAAACCAGCCTGAAAAGATTTACAATAGAGAAACTACAATAGAGTTCAGCACTGCAGGAAACCAGGGAAGTCTGTCCCTCAGCTCTCCTGAAAAAACAGTCCTTATTCTCCATATAAAATGTCCAGCATGTTTTTATGGCTTGTCTTGCACAACATCTGGAGGGAGCCAGAAAACTTGGACTGGGCTAACAGTTATGCTTGACATACAGCACTGCAGATAGCAGTGCCTGTTGTGGGAAATAGTTTCCCATTCTAAGCGCTGCAGCTGCTTAACTCTGCGAAAGTCACTGGAGGCAAGTCAGGAGAGCATGAAAATCCCCCACTGGAGAGGAAGGAAGCAAATATTGTTATGCAGCAATCACTAAAAAATGGGACATTTGAAGCCTGAATGGGGATAATAGGAGAAGTATATGCAAAACCTTCACCAAGAACAAAATAATTCACCTCACGCAGGTATAACTTCCAGTTGTGTGATACTTGTCTGGTCCAACAACAGGCAAATTGTTGGAAAAATTATCCTGCTGTTTAGCTCTTGCCATCCTTGCCCGTCTGGTGTGAATACCGTCACCAGATGCCCCTGCAGTAAGAACCTCCTTGGCATGCATACCCTCACCAAATGCCCTTGCAGTAAGAGCCTCCGTTGCCCCTTTCCTGAGCACATTCCTCATCCAACCAGTTGTGCCAGAATGAGCAGTCCCACCTATGTCTCCACTGCTCTGTACATGGGAAAATTAGTATCAGCAAAGGAAAAGGGCTTGGGCATTGCCTTTCCACTCTTCAGGATTCATCTCAGCAAGGGAGGGTGCAGAGCAGCTTCTGCCTATCCTATAAATCACATCTCTGCCTGTCTTCCCTGCTCTCAGTGATGAACAGCTGCCAGACTTTCACAGATCAGAAGAGGTGTTACCAGAGATTATAAAATAAGTTAAAAATGGAATGCAGCAGGAAATATCTTGTCGAAGCAGAGGCTGATAAAGAGGCTGGTAGGAAAGAATGAAATCCTTTTTGGGTAGGTTGTCTCAATATATCACCATAAGGAGAATTAAGTAAAGGCTCCCCAACACCAGCTCCTAGAGGAAACCAAACAAATGCCAAGCCATATGTTCAGCAAGGGCATGCAGCTGGTGTGCAATAACTGATAGAGACCTGTCCTAATTGGCTCTTGAAATTAGGAAACCACTGTACCCCAAAATCAGTGTATGGAAATGTGGGGAAGGAGCCCTTGGATGCAGGTTCAAAGTGGGTGCTCTGTGTTCATAAATCACTGCACTGCCTGGCTGCCCGGTGCTAAGACGTGCTACAGCCAGCACCAGCTACGAGAAAGGTTGGCTTTGCTCTGCGCAGCAGGAAGGGTCTGTGGGCACCAGTCAAGACCAGTGAAACCAGCAGTCTTTAGAAACTCTGCCAGTTACCTGTGCCTTTTTGGAGCCTCAGGAACTCCTTGGAACTGGTTTTGTAGTAACAACAAGGGAAATGTGCAGCAGGGCTCTTAGCACTGAGGGGCTTGGGCACTCGAAGATGCCATATGGTCACAAAACCCAGAAACAAAAAGGGAAAACCAAGGGACATCTTTTGAAAAAACTGCTATCTGAGCTTGGGCAAATATCCCCACCACAGATACTAAGACTGGTTATGGGCTGAAGAAATTCTCCCTTGGAAATGTAAGCGTTCATAAAAAAAAAAAACTGAAAACTTTGTCATTCGCATGTAGTGAAGAGCTATAAATAGCACAGTCCACAGAAGGCTAAGCCAGAAGAACATCTTTCCTTGCTGCTTTGGATGATAACCTACCCTTGCAGGTTGTCATCACTCCTTTCCCAGCAAGGCAAGTCTCCAAAGTGCATGGAACCTCCCCTTGAGCACCCGCAATAGTGCCAACTCTCAAGGAAGCTCTTATTTCACATCGCTTAATATCAGATCTCTCAGAGGTTACCTCCCAGCTCCCCAGAGCCAACTGTCTGCCCTTCTTGCAGCCTTAGGATTTGCATGGCAATGTCCTTAGGTTAGCACAAAGCAGAAGAATGCAATGAGTGGGGCTTGCTGCTTGTTGTTTTATGTACTTACAGCTTTTGCAGCTTTCCCCATCCTCTCTGCAAAGCTCTAGCATCCTGGTGGCAGCAAAGCCCCAGGACCCCACCAGGAGCTAGGATTTCACCTGCAATTTTGCATTAATTAGTGCTAAATCCCCTGTTGCACACATTTATGATGCTCCCACATGAACTTTTTGAAGCTCTTTGGTCATCTGGTTGTGCCTTCTGGTTTGATAAGCTTAATTTCTTGGGGATTTGCAGATCAGTTCAATTTTGGGGAATTTACTCTTGGCATTTATGTCTCTAGAGGTGAAGTGATGGGTCACAGTGTTCAGAGGTGCTCCCCATTCACCCAGTGTGCTTAAAATTCTTGTTTTCTCATCCCCAAAGTGATCTGGACTTTCGAGACTTACAGGAGACATTTCCCAGCGCTCAAGGGAGAATCTACATAGAAAAAGGAATTGCTGATGGTGTAAATGATTGTCCCTCTGCAATCTTCACTGGATCCTGGGATGAGGAAAAGCAATTAAAGACACATTGATCACTGGGCCAATTTCAAAATCTACCCTTGGGGGCCTGACCTACTTTGGACTAAACTTGTTTATTGGCAGTTTCCCCCCTGCTTCCAAAAGTAGCTGCATCCACAAGGACACTGCTGCTCTCCTCCAATGGAAGCAAGGTGACATCTCCAGGTGTCCCCCAGGCTGGATGGAGCCCACAGCTGGTAACACCTAAGGGGATGTGTCACAGCTGCCTCCACAACATGCATTCTCAGTCCAAACCAGAGCTGGCCACCCTGCTAATGGAGCAACTGGGAAAAGCTGGGCAAACCCATTCTTACTGGGGTTTTTTTGGCAGGACAGATCTAGCCTGAAGCCCTTGAGAGACTGTAACGATGGGGTAATTTGCAAGGCCAGTAAATCACTCCAGCTTTTTGGAGTGATTTACCAAAGGAAACAGCTGAGGGCAGCAGCTTTTGCCTCCAGATAGTTGGAACAAGGTATTGCAGACATTTCCAGCCACAGAGCACGGGATATAAGGCACTGGGCAGGAGAAGGCTTCTCAGTGCTAGGGGCTGGCTCTTCTTCATCTCCACCTGCCCCATGGAGCAGACACAAGTCCATCCCAGATGGGCAGCGCAGGCTGTACAGATGAGAGAAGAGGGGTGCGTAAGTCCCCAGTCACCCTATAGCTGCCCTGCATAGACCTCTCCCTCCCTAGCAGCTCAGAGGCACCTGCTCATCCTTTTTCTTTTTCCTTCTGAAGGGCTGAAGAAAGAAGCTGCTCTCATTTTGCCCCAAGAATTGCATGCACAGCGCTTGCCACAGATGAGATGATACTTTTTCCCATGTAAAGCAAAACCCAAACTTGAATGCAACCAGTCTGATCACAATCCCTCTGATTTCCCTGCACTTCTTTCAGATGGGGGCAGGAAAGTAAGGTGTGCATTTCCGTGCCAGAATTGGTTCTCAGGAACGACAATAATCACAACATCTACTGGATTATTATTTTATATGCATGCATATATTAACATGTGTAAGAATGCATATATGAGTGTCTGTATGTATGGGCTATTTGGGGGGACATAGAACTTAGGTGACAACCAAATACTTATCTCTCCCCTGCCTTCTCCCGTTTGCTTAACGTTAAAGTAGGCTGTCATATATCATTGGAATTTGGGATGTTAGAGGGACCTCATGATAGAATTGAGTGCTTGAGGGGGAGCTATGTTCTGCCTCTGATACCCTGATAGCTGGGCAAGGCTCCAAGAAATTACAGTCTCCTCTGAACTAGAATGCAACAATAAGGAGAAAAAACTTAAATTCTTCCCTCTGCTAAAATTCATAAACTTTATAGGCTCTGTGTCTGAAGGTAACATGGGAGTCAAACTCGATAAGTCAGTTTGGACCTCTAGTAATGCTGCCACAAATGAGCAGAGCACAGAGCATAGCAACAGCAAAGCAAAACGGAAATCCTGCTCACTATTACAATGAACAAGGACTGGAGAAAAAACAGGTGGAGAAAAAAAGATCAGACATGCTCTGCCTGCCTAACCTTGCCTGGATACACAGAGTTTTAACTCCATATCAGTCATGGATCATGTATAAACTGAAACCTCTGTTTGAAGGGTTGCAAAGTGATGCTGGGCTGCCTGGAAGGCAAGAGCGTTGGAGCATGACCCAGGCTGTGCAGCTTCTTCCTGCCAGTGGCCTCAGCTGACCTTGGGCTTTTCGACTCCCAGTGCCTCAGTTTTCCCATCTACACAGCAAGCTCTGCTCTTTGTAAAGGGCCACTAGCAGGCAGGATGAGGGGACCTGTCTGCACTTAGCTAAACCTATGCTTTTGTTGGTTCATTTCCTCTAGAAATACAATATGGGAGGGGAAAGGCATCCCAAGTTTGCAGAGGATGGAGGCAAGGCAGGCTGGGGCAGCCGGGCAAGAACTTTCCCATCAGACTTGTGGAAAGTGGCTTATCTGGGAAACAGCTTGAGACCCAGCCAGAGTCCCAGACCTGAGAGCAGGCAGTGGGCAAGCGCAGAGGTGGAGCTTACACTGGGGTTTTTTGTTAGGTATAAAAGGCTTAGATGGGTCAATGCTAACCACAGCACCTGGGACGTGGTGAGGGGAGCTGCACAGAGAGCGGAGAGCAGTGCCGGCCATGGGGAGGGCAGCCCCAACCCTCCTGGCCCTGCTCAGCCTAACAGCAACTATTTGTGATGCCCAGGACACCTGCCCAGGTGAGTGGGGCACAAATCCTACTGCCATCCCACTGAGACAGCCTATTTCATCTCCCCCACACAAGAAGCTTGCGGCTGGGGCGGGGGGGGGCAGGATATGATTTTTTTCCTTCTGTGCTTTTTTTTAATTCACCTGCAAGTGGGAGGAGGGTAAGGGGGAGGATGAAGTCTCAGCAGCCACTTTACAAAACTGCTGACTCCAACCGAAGATGTAGCATCCTCCCCCGCTCACCAGTGGGATGTCCAGGAACAGGCTGTCCCAGTCAAGGTTTTACATCCTGGTTAAGAATTTTTGTTCATGGTGCCTTGGCCCAGTTACTGAAGGATGCAGAGCAATACAAAGGATCGGTCAAGTGCTTGCTAGGTGCCAGGCATCCTGGCAGCTTGGGGATGCTGCACAGCACAGCTTTCTGTCTGTATTCCTGGGGAAGGTGATAGGGACGATTTCAAACTGACCTGCTGTCAGGAAATTTAATAGAACCTTTACTGGCCACAGATCTATCAATATCACTTACTCTGCTGTCAATATCCCCCAGGGCACCTCTCAGCTTTTGTTTTATTAAGCTACAGTATATTTGTCATGCATGTAATGTCATATATAACAGCCTTCTCTCCCACTGAACTCCCCTGAAGCCAGAGAGATGCAGTGTCTAGCTCTTCTAATATGTGAGATCCTCAATGCCATCTGTTAATCCATACAACACCTCCAAACTCTCACCCTCATTGCTTTTGCTTGCACTGTTCCTGAACTCCAGAGGGTTCGGTTTCCTCTCCAAGACATTTCAGAGCCCTAATAATCTCCACGAAGACTGTCTTCATTTCCTCAGAGATGAGAATAGTGGGACTGGGTGATGCTGACTGGCTTGCCGTTCTCCAAGGATGCCCAGGGATCCCAGGTGCCTCTGGCCCAAAAGGAGAACCAGGTCTCCCAGGAACAAAAGGTGAGGCCCCAAAAGCCAGTGATGAACACTGTGATATGAGATGGCTTTGTTGCTTTGGGTAGGGGAAGCAAGCTGAGGCTGGAGCAGTGGCTGGCCTGGCACTGGCTTCTGTGAGCAGCTGGAGAGTCGAATAGGAGTGGAAAACACCCCATCTAGAGATGTGCTGGTACACACGGAGCCGTCTTTTTTTCCTTGAGTCCTGTCACAAGGCTGAAGTGGTCCTGGGGTGTGAAGTGTCATAACTCATTTGTTTCTTCTACAGTAAAAACATCCATTTATTTTCTGCATCTTTATTGAACAGTCTGGTGGGAGGGAGGCTGCGATGTTCCTGCATGTCTACCAGGGAACAGTTTGGGAACTGTACTGGCACTCCCTACCTCAGGAAGCAAGGGAGATGGGGGGATCCTTCAAGGTTTTCATAGCCAACTCATAGAAAAGGTGAATCGCATTAGCAGAGGGAGCAGATCCACCACAGCAAAATCCACGGACTGGCTCCAAGATGTACAAAGCTCATAGGAATTCATATGTGAGCTGCAAATTAGAACTTACACTGGCAGTACCAGTGTAGTGTAGCTTCAACAGAAGGAAAGGAGTAAGATATCTTGCAAGACTGAATCTAATTAACAAAACCCAGCTTCCTTGTTTCTGCAAAAGCCAAGGCCCAGCTGCCCAGGCTTCTGTATCATCTCCCCTCTGGTCGGTTTGCAATGTGCACATACAAACTGAGTCTTTCCTTGCAGGAGAAATGGGAGCCCAGGGACTCCCCGGGAAAGCAGGACCACCTGGTGCAAAAGGTAATGCCTAACGTATTCAGCTCTAATCCATAAATCTACCCAAGTTCAGGACATGCATTGGGAGACTGGGTCTACAGAGATGAACTGTAGAACTGGTCATAGTCCAAGAAATAGCGCTGAAGTAGCATAGGCAAAGCAGGATTTGGGGCTATGGATCTTGCGTGGGGTGAGTACTAGAAACAGTGTCCTTGAGTGGGACCACATCACAGAGGAAGATACTGCTTTTCTCGAAGTTCCCCACTGACTTTTACCAGCCCCCTAAAATCAGACCTCTCCCCATTCCCCACTCCTACTCTAACCTGTCCACCATGACAAACCTGACCAAATGCCCCCCTTCTCTGAGGAGCTTTGGGATGCTTCAGCCAGGAGGCCTGATGCAGAGACATGATGCTGAGTGCTGCCAGCAGCCTCCAGGCCTGGACTCGGCATGCGATGCCATTGTAGCCCACTTGACCAGAAGGATGGGATCAAGCCACCAGGAAACAGCTGGCACAGGGTGAAGCAAGGAGGGAATGGGGGTTTCTCTGCAATGGGATGAGCCCCTGAAAAGAGGAAGATGTCTGCTGAGAAACCGGCTTTCACTCCATCCGGGTTGTGCTTTAGGTCTTCAGCAGGATCTGTGTGCTGTAGATATTGGAAATGAGTCTCTTCTAAAGAAACCAGTTCCCAGCACAAGGTGGCACCCGGGACTTGAGCACCGGTGCACTGACTAGCTGGGAAAACAGCCCCTTTGCACGCTGAATACGTAGCTATTTCCTGGCCAAAAGCACCCAAGACTTCAGCTGAAACTGCCGCAGGAGATGGATGAACCCACTGAAAATGTAGCTATTGCCCAAAATTTCACAGGTGCCTGACTGAAAACAGAAAGCCCCCACAAAAAGTCACTGAGATGAAGCTGTGAATCCCCCATACACTCCAGCAGACGGAGCAGCAGTTCTGTCTTCCCTGTGTCCTGCTCTTCCTGCAGTTCCTGAGAGATGCTGCTGATCAAGAGAGCAGCAAGGCCGGGGTGGCAGCACCAGCTGGGACACTCAGCAGAGCACTGTGGCTTTGCACCACTTGACAGCCTCTCCTGTACATTTGGGGTGTATGGAGGGGCTGGAGAAGCCACTTGGGGACCCACAGTAATTCACTCTCATTGAATCATCTGTGATGAGCATTTTCCTTTTGTCTCTTGCAGGAGCAGCTGGAGAGCCTGGCTTCCCAGGACTGAAAGGTAAATCATGCTGCACTGAATTTATCACGAGCTGGTTTAGTTAAACTTCCACCCTGTGCTGCTCTGGAACAACACACCAGGTGGGAGCAACTATAGCAAAATAAAAATACCCCACCAGGTACTGGATGGGGCTGTTTGGTGACAGTTGTGCCCCATCGTAGTCTCAGCCCTGGTCCAGGTGGTGTGAGCGGCTCCTCTCCCAAACCAGCTGTTCAGCAACAGGGGCTGCCCCCAGCTCGGGCACCTAATGCTGCTGCCCAGTACGATCAGCTACAGAAACCGCAGGGCTTCACACACCCCCAGCCTGAGGGACCAGCCAGATTTGGGCAGACATCCGACTTGGATGAAACTCAGTCACTGCTAGTGCCAGAGGAACATGTCTCTCTACCAGCACTAGCAGTAGGGTAGAGGGAAAACAAGGGTTTGTTTGGTTTTTTTCCCTGATGCCATCATCCTGCATGTGAGGGCCACTGGCACCTGTCGCTGAGCACTGTCTGCACTGCGGCTTCCCTCACTTGGAGCTTGGCTTGTAATAGCTGGGGGCCAAGCGCTGCTGATCTGGTGGCTAGTTCAGCACATTTGCTCCAGCTGTCACAGCTGCTCCCAAACCACTTACTAAAGCCCTCTGCCAGCAGCAACAATTCCCCTCTCTGGGCTTTTGACCCTGCCTTCCCGTGAGTGCATTTCCTTCTCCTCCCCACACGCACCTGCTCCTGTCCCACATGTTCCAGCCCAGTGGGGCTGACTGGCACAAAATGTTGGTACCCAACTCCATGGGCTGGCCAGCAGCAGGCAGAGCAGCCAGGTCCAACAGAGACATGTCTTATGTCAGTCTTGCCATTTGGCCCTCCCAGTCCCAAATCAGATGTCAGGGGAAAATACATCATGCCGGGTCCAACAGCCCAAGAGAGGCAAGGCTGCTGCTCCTTGTGCACCTATAACGCATCCCACCTCCCTGGCAGCCACCCCGTGTGCCTGCTAGGCAACCTGGAGAGCTACTGCCAGTGACTGAGGGTGCTGGGTGTCACTGCTGTAATCACAGGAGTCTGTGACTTGGGTTCCCACCTGCCATTGTCCCTCTGTGCTCTCCTGGGTCTGTGCAGATGGGCCTTTGATGGGCTGGTGGGTCTCCTCTGGTGGGCCTGGGAGTGGCCAGGGCAGAATATATATTGAGTTGCTCCTCCTGCCTGGTTTCTCTGTGCCTCTGTTGTGTGTGCAGATGAGCTAAACACTTCTAACATCACAGCCAGCTGCACAACCAGTGCAGCGGGATTTGTCTTGGCAAATGATGCCAAGTGCTGGAGGAGGGAAGGACAGGGTGTAGAAGGTGAAGAGCAATTAATGGTGTTTGTCCAACAGGAACAAAAAGGAAAGCCTGGATTTCCAGAAACATGGGGTGAGTTTCATCCTAGGTCCTTCATGCCACCATTGGCTTTGCAGAGCAGACGGTGGTGGACTCCCTGTACCAGAAGTCAGGACAGGGCAACAATAAAAACAAATTCAGAGTGACACTGAAGGACAGAGTAAGGAAATATCACTGTTAACCCATTTTCTTCTCACAGCCACATGCAGCTTCAGTGTGTCTACTCTGTAATCTGTCTAATCTGTAATCCAGCCAGGAAAGTCACGTCGTCTGAGCACTACTCAAGTCACCTGCCCTCTGTGTGTCCTGGGGGAGGTGTGTCTTAGTTTTTGAGAGCCTCAGTGTCCTGGTTTCCAAGATGAAACCACTAGAAACACCTCTATAGACATGCTGCTACTTCAAAGGCATTTATACCACCACGCTTGCAGTGGCAGGTTCAGTAGACGCAGAGTTCACATGTGTGATAGTGCTCGGATTAACTTAATCATTTAAAAAAAAAAAAAAAAAGAAAGAAAGAAAACAAACAAGCTTCAGTTGACCCATCTGTCTCCCTGAGCTAAAGCCAAAGCAGAGCTACCACGTGCTCTGGCTACACTTGGATGCCGTAGGGCCGCAGTCACATGAAGAGGCTTGGACAGATCAGGGCTGCCACACTTGAAAGAGAGAGACTGGGCTGCCACTGAACTGGCAGCCTTGCTGCCCCAGGCACTCCTCTGCCCTTTTATGTTTCCTGGGCATGTAAAAACATTTGACTAATAAGGAACAGGCCAAGTCCAGGACCATCCCTCCATTAAGAAGGACACCCATGCCCACAAGACAGCCTGGTACAGCTCTGCGTCCATTCATCAAATACAGCACACGCAGACACCAGCACCACTCAGATCATCTCCCAAGGCTTTCCCCTGTGAAAGCCACAGATGCAGCTGTAAGCTGGGATGTCTGATAGGGACCGTTCCAGTCAATCCTTTGGCATCTGTGAATCTGAGCTTCTGTCATCAGGTGTGGTTTTTGGGAGGAAAAATAGATTTACACATAATATATATGTATATATTCAAAAGTGCCATCTGTCCAATCCACAGATCTGAACACTGTTTTCTGTATTACAGGTAGGCGTTTTTCTGTGTCACCACTCCTTTGCTGCCAACTACCCACACACTCTCTGTGCCCCTGTGTCCTGAGCCTGGACAAATTCCTGGATCATGAGTTTGTCATCTCACTCAGAGCGGCTCCATCACCCAGACCCCCAAAAGAGTCGCTGCAGATGAGAGGAGTCTGAGCACCTTAGACCATCTCCTAGAAGGTGCCCATCTCCCCTGTGACATACGGACTCAGAAACTGCAGTGGGGTTTGGCTCCCAGTAGGTGTGTGTCAGAGTCCTGCAGTGCAAAGAGTCAGCTGGGAGGCTGAAGGGCTCAAAGCCTCCAGCTTAGGGCATGAGGCTGATGTGCTTCCTGGATGCAGTGAGCACGTTGTAACTCTTTACACTCGACCTCTTTCCCTGATTTGCACAGAAGCCAGGAACTGCCAAGAGCTGTTGGGTAAAGGGAAGATCCTGAGTGGCTGGTACACCATCTACCCCCAAGGCTGCAATGCCACCACTGTCTTCTGCGACATGGACACGGATGGCGGAGGATGGATTGTGAGTGGGATGAGGAGAGGGAGGTTTCTATGTCCCTACAGTGATCTTTATTAAGGCTGCAAAGGATGGCACCAAAATAGAAACAAAAAGGGAGGAAAACACACACTGGGGAGACAGCTGAGGTTCATGTCAGCAAGCCTGGGTGAACCCCTGTGGATGCAGGGGATTCTCCCAGGAGATGTCTCGGAGCAGCCTGAGCACCACAGACCCACCCCCTGCTTAAATCAGCAAATAATTTCTTCTTCATTTTCAAGGGCAGAAGGAGGATTTCTCCATGGTGAGCGAGGGATTCCCCTGAGCCTTGGTCCCCAGACACCCACAGGAGTAACCTGATGCAGGGGAAGCGTTTGCGGGGGGGGGCAGGCTGTATGTACCCCCAGGCACTGCAGATGCTTTGGGGGGGGGGGGGGTGAGGGTGGCCTGGCAGGGCTGAGGCTCTCCTTTCCTGCAGGTTTTCCAGAGGCGCTGGGATGGGTCAGTGAACTTCTTGAGAGATTGGGACTCATACAAATGAGGCTTTGGCAACCAGCTGACGGAGTTCTGGCTGGGGAATGACAACATCCACTTCCTCACCTCGCTGGGTAAGGTCTGCCTCCGTCCCGGGCTGGGCTGAGGCCCTAAGAGTCCAACCCCTGTACCACACTCGGTCATTAACTGACTCAACTTCTCGCATCTGTCTGAGGCCCCAACAGTTAATCCTAAACAGCATGCAGGCTCTTGCAGCCCATTGCACACAGGGAATTGCACTCTAAAAAAAGGATGTTGTGGTTTAACCCGGCAGGCAGCTAAGCACCACACAGCCGTTCGCTCACGCCCCCAGCCCCAGTGGGATGGGGGAGAGAATCGGAAAAAAAAAAAAAAGTAAAATTTGTGCGTTGAGATAAAGACAGTTTAATAGGACAGAAAAGGAAGGGAAAATAATAATGATAATAATGATAAAAGAATATACAAAATAAGTGAGGTACAATGCAATTGCTCACCACCTGCCGACCGATGCCCAGCCAGCTCCCGAGCAGCAGTGAATATCCCTTTGGCCAGTTTGGGTCAGCTGTCCTGGCTGTGCCCCCTCCCAGCTTCTCGCTGGCAGGGTGTGAGAAGCTGAAAAGTCCTTGACTAGCGTAAGCACTGCTTAGCGACAACTAAAACATCGGTGTGTTATCAACATTATCCTCATCCTAAATCCAAAACACAGCACTATACTAGCTACTAGAAAGAAAATTAACTCTATCCCAGCTGAAACCAGGACAAAGGAAAACTAGAAGCCAGTGAAGAGTATGAGCTGGCTGCATGACCTATCCTGGAGACAGGCCAACACATCTTCCTACTAGGACTGGTTGTGATGGCAGTCATCTTGTTCACACACAGCCTTAGAGTCACAGGTGTGTGCAGGACTCCTGGGCGTGTAGCTCTCAGTGCCCATGACCACCCAACATTGGATCAGAAAAGGTGCTTCACAAGAAAGCCATCAAAGGTACAGGAGGTTCTGCAGGAATTTCAAATAAATCATAATCTCTCAAGTAGTGGAAGCTCCTCTCAAGTTAGCTCAGGGCTCCTTAAACCCTCCACTCAGAAATCCAGGTGCGTACTGGATTTCAGCCCTGCACCACTGCTGTCCACCTTCTCTTCTAGGACCCTGTGAACTCCGCATTGACCTGAGAGACTTTGAAAACAACTACTATTTTGCCAAGTACGCTTCCTTCAGAGTTTTAGGAGAGTCTGAGAAATACAAACTGGTTCTAGGAGACTTCTTTGGTGGAAACGCCAGTAAGTTAGCAACACCTCACTGGGAAAGGCTGTTTTCTAGAGCATTTCAGAAGTATTCAGCATTTATAGTGCAGAGCTGTAACATGCAAACTCCTTGTACCATCTACATTTTGGGTCAATTTCTTTAAAACTGGCCATGGTACCCCAGGTGCCGAGACACCCATCACCTACAGAGTGTGACCCGGAGCATTACCTACAAGCCCAGCCACATGGTTTAGCAGCAAATGTGGAGCCTGGTCCTGAGCAGCACCTCATCCAATGTAACCTTCCCAACAGCTCGGCAGCAGCTGGGTCAAGTTCTGCTTTTGATTACATTGGAAGGAAATACTTGCCTGTGAGGTTTGGCATTTCCAGGGCTGGGGTGCTGTTCAATACTTGCAGCATCAGCACTACACCTTCTTAATGCCTGATGTTTTGTTTTTCTTTAAAAAGCAAACAAATCCTCTGCAAAATTCAATACCCCTCTTGCAGGAATGAGTGAAACCAATACCTGAGATAGCAGCGCTCTGGGTTTATGTGGCTTTGTACACTGCAACTCTGTCTGATAGTCCAGACCTCAGTATGCCTGCAGAGAATCTGAGTGGTGCAAGAGAAGTGACACCCATGTAACTGCAAGCAGAATCTGGCCCATTTGATTCACAGGCATAGATAAGTTCTCCATGTGTTTTAGCAGTCCTGGCAGAGCTCAGGATACTCCTTATCTCCAGGACCAAGGAGGAAACCTGGGCAACCAAGAGAACAGCAGGATTTATAAAATCTGCCTTGCATCCAGCAAGGCCCACTGATGCCCTGCAGTGGTGCACAGACACATTAGGTTCCCTTTTGTGCTCTCTGTGGCAGTAACTATGAACATGTGCTCTCTGCAGGAGACTCCTTATCATACCACAAGGACATGCCATTTTCAACAACAGACCAGGACAACGACATGAATTCCTTTAACTGTGCCACAGAATACAAGGGAGCGTGGTGGTACAATGACTGCCATTACTCCAACCTGAATGGGATGTACTGGCTGGGTGTTCATGGGAGCTATGCTGATGGCATAAACTGGAAGACGGACAAAGAATACCATTACTCCCAAAAGCGAACGGAAATGAAATTCAGGCCAGTTTAACATGGCAAGAGGGTGTCTGACTAGCACCAACAGGTGCCACCAACAGCCAAGAGAAGACACAAAACAAATATAATGTTGCTTGAGGGCAGAATTTGACCAGGAAGGGTATTACAGGTTGTGCCTTCAGCCTAGAGCAGACTTTTAGAGACCAGAAGAGATCGGTGCTGGTTTGAGCTCCTGTAAGCACCAGACTCTCACCCTGGACTATCTCCAGCAGCCCCACAGATGCTGATTGAGCCTGAGCATCTTTTTCTGAAAAGTGCATTACCTTGATTTAAAGACCAAGTGATGGTGAGGCTACTGCATCTCAGTAAAGCTCTCAGATATTATTACCCAAATGGTAATTACTGGTAATTTTCCATCCAATCCATGTATATGAAGCCTCCAGTGTTCTTGCAGCCTCTTTTTCTGTTGGACCTAAGAGCCATCTGAAAGGCACTGAATTCCTGACCACCCTCTCTCCCTGCAGGCTGTGATGGAGCCACAATGTAGACCAGCATGGAAAAGGACTGAGCTTCCAGCACAGGGCTGTCAGCACTGCCACCTCCCTCCCCACTGCACACAACAGGTGCTCCAGGACCTCAAGTGTCACCTCAGCTCCTGGAACCACAGTAGCATTGCCCAGCACTTGCCACAACAACACAGCTGCAGCTGGGCCCAGAGCCAGCTTCAGCCACTCCTCCAGGGAATGTTCCTACATCTCATTCTTTAGCCGCTGTGGACCAAGAGCTGGATACAAAACAGTCTGTCCAGCAACATGAGCGGTACCAAGACACTACAGTAGTCCCAAGTCAAGCCTTGCACAAGTGGACATCATGTAAATCACCAGCAGGTGCCAGTATCTTCCATTTCACCTTGTTTCCAGTAGCATTTGAAGATGGGTTATCTGATGGTGGATGGAGGTAGTTCATCCAGTTCATGTGATGTTTTATTTGACTATTAGAAGAACTGGTTAAAGGGTCTCTTCTTCCTGGACTCCTGCTCCCAGACTCCTCCCCACAGCTGATGCAGGGGAGGAGAGCTTAGGGCTAACTCCTCACTGGAGGGACAGACCAGAGTCTGTGGAAGGAGAGTATTTATTTGTGTTATGTTCCTAACGGTCCCAGGTTTATCACACTACTTACTGCACAGATGTGTAGCAAGGGCAGCTCCAGCCCTACAACACTGAATCCAAAGCTTGTGTGTGGGTGAGAAAAGTGAAGAGGCCACTCACCCAGAACACCACAGCAGGTCAACGATATACTAAGAAATAAACCTGAGGTTATGCATCTCCCTATTCATTAGGTCCTGCCCCTGCTCACTTCTTCTTTTCAGGTACATGAGAAAGTACATGTCTGACCAGAGAAGCACACACTGAAATTCCCATAGTACCACTTCCCCACCTCCAGGAGCTCCGTTTTGTTTTTCTCCTACTCCCAGTTAGACTGACGTGCCCTCAGCAGGAGCAGGAGCAAGGTCCCACAGCGTCCAGCTGTGTCTCAACCAATCGGCCGCTCACGCTGTTGTCCATGAGTAGCTTCTCAGAGAGGCCCAAGGTGCTGCCACAGACAGCTCTGCAGAACCACGGACTCCTCTGCAGAGACGCATGAGCTAGTGCTGACATCCTCAGCTTTAACCTAGCTAAAAGTGCTGAATCCCCTTTCTCTGCTCCCTTCTTACTACACAGAAACCTTCAACATTTAAATTTCGTTGTGAATGACACTAATGTTAGAGGGATTAAGAGCACACCAAGAACACTTTACCCAAGCCCATCTAGTCAATATTCCCAGACCGCCACCTGACTCCACAGAGGAAATATTCAGGTATGACAAGCCATCACCAGTGCTAGGTGAGGTGGTTTGGACCTGGCTGCAGAGTGAAATTCTCCTGCATCCCCTAAGCTGGCGCAGTGAGTCATGGGCTGGCACCACATCCCCTCCAGCCTGAGCCCCAGCCACTGTAAGGCAGGAAAATGCTCCCTGTGCTGATACAGGCGTGTGAGGGAAGAGGGTCCTTGGGCTTGATGGTCCATCCCAAGCACCATGCCGGCAGCAGTCACAGAGAGGGCTTGCACTGACTCCAGCCAGGAAGAATTGAATCACTAAGGTCAGGATCCAGGTCCCTAGATACATATACTATACTACCAGCCCAGAGCTCCCACCTCTCCTCAACAGAAGAGTTCCCAGTCCTCCATCAGCTCTCACACCTGACCAGTGGGGGAAGAGGCAGGGAATGGACTTGAGATGTCCTAAAAGAATATGCTCCCCAAACTGTCAGGATACCATCCAGTCCTTCTTGCTTTCCATCCTCTTGCCAAGGGTCCCGAGAAGAAAAGCAGAATAGCCCCAGTCAATCTGTGACTGATCCTGGCCACTGCTCATCTCAGGGCTTTTTCTCTGTGTCCTGGAAAGCTCATGGATCAGGTTTGCATTTTGTGTTTGAAAACCCTCTTCCGATCATTAGTGGATCTGGAAAGGGCCAACCCTGAAGCCTAGAAATTACAATGTCCCTGGAGCTTCTCTAGACATTTCCCTTGCTGCAAATAATGACAAGTGAGGCTGGGAAGTCACCAGAGGAGCAGGGTGGGCCAGGCTAAGGGGTGTGGGGAGAGGACCTTGTTTCTGCCATATCAGGGAGCCTGGATAAGAGGCTGGAAGCATCTCTGATGGCTTGTTGATGCATAGCCATCTGAAAGCAAAAGCGAGGCCAAACTAGTCCTCTCAGGTCCCACCCAGGCCAGCCTCCTGGCCAGATCAGGGCTGCCTCCAGCGATACCCTCCTGCACTGTCTGGGACATGGGAAGACCCAGCAGTCCAAACCACCTATGGCTTGGGGGTTATGGGGTTACTGCCAGCCTCCAAGGGCTGCATAGAGGCTCTTTCCAGGGAGGAACACAGCACTTCGGCCATGTGCAAGTGCCCAGAGATTTCACAGCTGTAAATCTGAAAGCTGATTGACTTCAAGAAACTGGACTTTGGAAGGAAAGGCCTTCCTACTTAACACCGACAACTATCATGTGAGGAGCTCAAAGAACTGAGCTTCAGCACTGCTCCATGATTTGTGTTTGGATGCAGCAGACCCAGTGGTCCTGGCACAGTGAACAGCTTCCTCTGATTTTCCGAGGTGTCCTTGTGAGAGGGTTGCATCTGAAGAGTAACTAGTGCCATGTATGAGTCAGCATAAAACAAGCCGCAGCTGGGGAAAGCAAGTCATTTCACTGTGGTTTGGTCCTTTTGGCTTATGGGCTGCTGGGGTGGAAAAGATGAATCCAACACCCTTTGTACTATGCCTGTGCTGCTGCTCACCTTGTGCTCACCCAACTGAAGTGAAGGGGTGATTTTAGGACACCACCTGACCCTGCCACAACCCAAGGGCACAGGGGGGCAATGGACTCAAAATACCACTGTCTCATAGGTAATACTCTTCTGTAAATTACTTTTAACTAAAGGTTTATTATGCCAGCTATGCTGATAGAGCATGAAGCTGTTCATTTAGTTGTGTTTAGTGCCTATACTTGGAAACATGGCATTTCGGGAGCACCACTCAGCAGACCCAGGATGATGAAACACAGCAGCCAGGGCTGATGATGTGGAAAAGAACCACTAGACTTTATTCCCAAATGGTATTTATAAAAACAAACAAACAAAGACACAATGGAGGATGTGGGAACGCATGGCCTGTGTGGTGAAGCATGGCCAGGTCCATGCCATCTGCACCTGCAAAGCAAGAGGCCAACAGAGGGAAGAGATGCAGAGGAGGCAGCTCCTGGTCAGGTCCAGCAATGGCAAGCCTGCTGCGCTGCCCAGACCCTCTACCCACTATCACAGTTGCTTCAGTTCAGTGCCAGGACTCCAAGACATGAAATTCAACCACTGACCCAGACTTTGCATCAGACTGGCGTGGGGAAGCCAGGCCTTGTGCTCCCAGCACAGGGGTTTGTACCTGGAGGGCATCTCAGCAGGTTTCCCATGCTTGCCTCTCCCTCCAGCTCTGACTGGCAAACAGAAACTCTTGGTCCACAAGATGCACCAGACAAATTCCCAGACCACCTCTGTTCTCTGCAGACTCCCAACATTGGCTTTTCTAGTCCACATGGTGCCTGCAGACAGTCTCAGTTCCACCTGCTGCTGCAGCAGGTACCAAAGGTCCTTCTAGCAAGGACCTGATATCCTTTGGTCACCTGAGATCCAGCATGTGGCCTCACCATGACAGTGGATGAGGCACAAGGCAAGCTGAGAAGAAACACAGCTCTGATCCATCGCAGCTCAGACCGTGCTGGCTAATGCTATCCTGTGCTCTGTGCAGAAAATATCTCCCACACACACCCGCCCCACCCCTGGATCTGTTTAATCCTTGAGCAGGCTTCTCACCCCCGAGCAGATAAAACCAAAAGATCTTCCTTCATACTACAGCATCACCAAAGTATACACAACTCCACATGCCTTTTCTGCTGTGTCCCAGCCCCACAGTTGAGAGTCATATGTACGGCTGGAGGAAGGATCAGCCCGGTCTGTGGTAGGGCACCAACAGCACCAAGCCTTGCTGGTCCTGGGAACGGGGCAGTCAGCAGGGGAGGAGCCCTGCAGGGAAGTGCCCCTGGAACAAGATACCTTCACCCCATAACAGGCCATTTGAGGGATTGGTATGTTGAGTGATCTTCCTTTAGTCTACTCTTGTGCAGGGGGGGCAGAGGAAGAACAAGCTCCAGCTTGGCAGACGAGGCAGCATGGGGAAGGCTAGGGAAAGGCTTTGTGAAAGCAATGCATCTAGCCAGGGACTGAACCGAGATGGACAGCTACGCTTCATCCATAGTGGCCTTTGGAAAAGGTTTTGTATCCTTAATGCTTTGGGTGTTAGCACATACTGTTGAATTCCTCATTCTCAAGCCTATTCCTCTATGGAAGAAGAGCCATGGGGAGCCTGGGAAGCTTTAGGAGGTTGCAGTTAGCTTCTCGGGGCCATCTCTTGGTAGCCAAATATACATCCTGTGATTTTCATCCAACACATTGCTGTGATGCTGG